GGGGACCGCCTGAATGTGAGCGTTCAGTCGTGAATGCACCTAGCCCTGGCGCAGCAGCGTTTCATTCAGAGGGATGTAGCTCTTTTCATTTAGAGTGGCTCTACACAACGGTCGTTAAATAGCATCAGGGTTTGTGATAATTTGTCATGGCAAATTGCGTTCCTTTCGAGTCTCCAGTTGAGATTTTTATTTGCTGATCTGTAAGGCTTTATAAACCGTAGTGAGAGCTCGTAGTGAGTGGTTGCCTTGACATGCAGGGACATGGGCACACCGAAGCAACGTGCCTCATCCGGGTGGAGATCCCAGTGGGAGCGGAGCGAGCCCCATCCCGCGGGTGCAGGGCAGGAGGGTGGGCAGCACGCCATCCGTGCCAGCTCCACCGCGCGATACACGAGGCCGTACAGCACCAGTCCTGCAGAATTCCCGGCCTGGAACTTGCTTAGCAGTGCGCTGCTGTCCGTGCAAAGCTCGGAGCCTCCCAAAAAAAGGGCTCGACTGGGCCTAATTCTCACCAGCGAGCCCGGACGGTGCTGCCTGGTTCCCACAGACTGTACACTTCCCTGCCAAGATTTCAGTATCTTCAGAAATTCAGTGGAGCATGAAGGTCACAGCAAGGGAAGAATGACAGCCTGAGACTTTTTTTTTCCCCCTTTCACCAGCTCGGAGCAGACTGTTGTCTCTCTTGCATGTTGACTGTTTTCATAGGGTTAGCGTGAAGTTTATGTTTTACACAGACCAGTGGAAGTCAGATATGGGAATGCAGCAGATCAGCTGTGTTTCTTCAAGGAAGACGGTCTCATGTTGCAGACTTTCTTTCTCGGTGTCTGCAAAAGCTTGATTTCCAGTGAAATTTCCTTTACAGATCTTTGTCTTTAAGTTCTTTTTGTGGACATATGTGAGAGACTGTACCCGAGGTTTCAGTTTGTGTATTTATTTCCTTTCTCTTGTTTTCACTTGCAAAGCTGCAGGCGAATATTAAACTTCAGGGAGGGCAAGAGCTGTTAATTTTTCAGAGTGTTATGTATTACAGTGCTCAAAATGATGATGCCAAATTAGCCATTAGAGGTCAAACCTCGGCAGACAGCAAATGTTTTCTTTTGGGGAAATCATCCTTTTTCCTGGGAACCAGTTTTGTTCTCCTGTGCTAAATGCAAGAAAGGTATCAATGTGTGGGTTTTTCCTGGAGGGCAACACTAGCTGGAAAAATGCTGGTTTTAGCCAGTGGAAACAGCAGAAGCAAACAGCGATTGGCAGGCAAAACAGCACTTGTATTTAGACTAGCATAGAAAAGAAGACACAATGTAGAGCAGAGTAAATGTCCTTTTATACAGTTCTGTACAAGGCTTTTTCTTCCTCTCGTGGGTTTGGACAGATTGTGAAGTGCATTGGTCAGCAGTGATGCTGGTGCACTGGGAGAAAGTAATGAAAGGTCAGTGGGTGACAGTGATGGAGCGACTGTAAGGAAAGCGAAGAACTCTCTGGAGAAGGCAGTGACACAGCTATAACTCCCCTGTGTCCCAAAGAAACCGTCCCCATGTTTTCTCTCAAATGTCATGAGAAAACAAGAGATTTGTAGCCAATTTAAGTTCTGTTGGTTTCCAGTCCCCTGTGCCTCCTGAGGTCAGAGTTCAGTGCATTGACTGTGTCAAGAAGTCAAAATTCCCATGTTTTATACACTGTGGAGTTTCTCCTCCTTTTTGACATCAGTGCCCTTATAATGCTCTTTGTTTGTATGTCATGGTAAGGATGGGATGCCCAACCCCTGGTGTTTGAACGGCTGTATATTTATTCTGGTGGATTCTCAGGATGGTAATCCTGCACGTAAACCAGCAATGGAATCAGTGGGTCTCATTATTTGAAAGACCTTGTACATTAAGCATTAGATGATGTCAAAGTTCTTGTTTTCACAACGGAGTGACCAGCTTCGTTAGTAGATCAGGTGAAGTGAATTGATTTGAACCCACCCAGAAGGCCTCCAGGCCTTTATTTTCCCTTCATAGATCAAGGTGGTGTTGGAAAGGAGCCTTTCTTCTGAACAGTTTGATGTGGGCCATCGTGTAGCACAGGCAATGTTTTCCCAATTCCTATTGAGAATCCTGCACAAAACCCTTGTCCTGTTGTTGCAAATGCAATTAAATCCTGCTACGTGCTTCATGGGGAATGAGCAGTTTTGCAGTCATCCAAGATTTGCAGTGTTTGCCCAGGGCAGCTGTTAATACCGGCAGCAGACCTTTGTTCCTCCAGAAGAATGTGTGATCTCTAGGCATTTTTGAAGCTTTCGTTTGAGTCAGCATTATCCACTGAGCTACTCATACTTGGCTTCATTGTAGAATTTGCCAGATCTGTAATTGCTTGACAGCATTTATCTGAAGACCTTTATGCACTAAACTGTGTAACTTCCTATTGGCATAAAATGAAATATATCCATTAGTCCTAGTATTAATCGTATGAGATGACACCCTACACCAAAACCGTACGTCTCTGGATGCCTGTGGGATACGATACATGATTTCCTTCTTCACCTACTTCTGCAAAGCATTTTCAGCTAGAAGCAGCTAATGCTGAAGATGGTAAGCAACTGGCTTTTTGAGAAGACCTTGTCCCCAAAAGGTGCACGTGGTCTAAATTACTTACCTGATGTAAGAAGAAGCCATTTTGTGTTTGTGTAAACCCTTTAATCCAAGGATCATGCAGTGTTTCAGCAGGAGAGCCAGGTGTAAAGCAGTATCCTAGTGAAACCTGAAAAGAGAAGCAGAAAGCTTTTAAATGAGTTTCTCAATTCATACATTGTGTCAGTCTTGAAGGAGATATTTTGCAGTTATCTTGATAGCTATACTGTGTGCTGTAAGCCCAGGGCAGGACTTTGCTGTCATTCAAAGGCATCAAGGCATGGGTGCTGTCATTGAGTCAGTCATTTATAAGAGGCTCAGGATAAATTTTCCTCTCTCATTCCCCAGGAAGGCAACAGAAGTCCCTTGGTAGTGGGAAGGTTTTTATAGTGAGCTTATTTGAGAGTGTGCTGATCTGGAACAAAGTCTCCCAACGGCACAAGCTTTTTTCTTCCAGAGGGCAGCCCAGTAACCTCCAGTTTCCCAACACCAGGAGTGATAGCTTAGAGGGAGAATGACAGCACAGGAGTTTTGGCAAAGGTGGAAAACGTAATTTCAGGGCACGCTTCTTGTGAGTCATTATGTTTTCTCTGGACAAGTGGATTTAGATGATTTACCTGTCTTAATTTAAGATACACAGTCTGAGTTGATCATCCTTTTATTCACGGAAGATGCCTGTTCTCTCATCCCCAATATCTTCTCCATTCCCACCCATCACCTCATCTTTTCTCTTGGTAGTTCCTGGGGGAGCTGCTCCTACTGAGGCATTTTAGTGAAGGAGGAGAATATCGTATGTTTAAGGTGAGCACAACCAGGTTTATTTTCCTAACCGCCCCTTCTAATGGCTGTGGTTACGACCTAAGGCTGTCTTGCAGCCCGGAGGGTGGCCCAGAACCCTTTGTCCCCTGCGCCCTCGTCCCTGCCTCGTATTTACAGCTCATGCTTGGGGAGGGGGCACATGGGGAGCCAGATGTTAGGACTGATGTGGCAGTCCCATTTGCAGCTGGATCAGTGCTTTGTAGCCAGAAGGGAATGCAGGAGCAAGTGACGTCTCCGGTGTACCGATGGCAGGGACCGCTCCACCTCTGGCAGCGTGATCCTGGGGCAGCGTCCCTGCCTGGAGCCTGGGGCATAGCAGCGAGTCCGGGTGTCCGGCAGAGGTGTGGGCAGACCGTTGACCTCTGTGGCTGTTAGGGTTTAAATTTGACCGTCTAATTTCATGGACTTTAAAGAAGGGGAGATGACTGAGCTGGGTCCTGCAGGATGAAATGAGCTGGTGGTTGGAGAGCAGGAAGTTGGTGACAGGGGAGTCAGAGGAGGAACACGGTTCCATGCAAACAAGGTCATGTGAATGGCTGTTTGGTGACAGGATGGAGTGATGGATGTGCGAGGATAATAGGTCACTGGGGAGTCAGCCTGAAAGCTGAAGCCTCTCAAAAAGTGTGGGACATTGTGGAAAAGAAAGTCAAAAAGACATCAAGTAAAGCCAGGCAGCTTCTTGCACACCAGCCTGCGCCTGCCTCACAGCTCTGGCTAGCGTGCTTCCCTTGGCTTATTTTTGCACACTCCGATCTCTGTATAAACGAGTTGGGCACTAAAAAGTTGTTTGTGCTTCCTTCTGCACAGACGCTGGCTGAGCCGAGGGATTGAGCCTTCGCTCCCAGGAGTAAACCCATCCCGCGGCAGGGACCAGCCCCGAGGAGCCTTCGCTCCGGCTGCCTTCTGCAGTCGGGCCATTCCACCCCTGCGCGGGGCCTTCCCTGGATCAGCGGCATTTAGTGGCATTTACTGGAGGGCTCAGATTACCCCAGTGAAAATAATCGGTTATGCAAAGTTACGCTGTTTAGATTGGGTTTCTTCTGTGTGGCCAGTGAGGTGTGAAAGTCAATCTGCTCTGCGCACCCTGAGGGCACTTGCTCTGTGCTGACTTGATATGATAGCTTTGGGGTTTGGCTCTCGGGGGGGGGGG